AACTGATGTGACATTTGTCCACGGTACCACTGAGTGTTCAAGGCTGCTCAGTTTGGTTACTAATCCCTGTTCAGTAGCCATTAGTGCCAGGCTTTTGAGTCTCCTGTCCACATGAGACGTTTGCATGTACATGTACTCATGTACATCAGTGCATTTGCAGGTAGTACAGAATCAAACATGAATATTTGGCCCTTAAAGTGAAACAGCGTATAATAGCTCTGCCAGGGAGCATTACTTGACTATTCTATTAAAATGATGAAAATTAATTAAGTTGATAGCCATGTTCACATAATTCCAGGAAAACAGAAATTCTTGAATAATATTCATTTTCCTGTTTGGCCACTGTTTCATTTGATACTTCATCCAATTTAAAAAGGAGTCCTGAGATTTATTTTATTTTGTATTAATCATTCTCTGTAAGATATAATTAAACTTACTAAATAGTATCTAAATCTTTGTTTCTAAGTATCAATTTTATTACTATTCTGAAAAATAAGAACATGTAGTATCCTACTTGCCTTAATTTTTCTCCCCATAATTTTTTTTCTCCTCTGAAAGGAAGAATTTCAACTTTGAAATCTTCTAGAGAATTCTTTGTTAGCATAATTTCTCCTCTGTAACCTAAGTAATTATGAAAATTTTATTTATTTCTGTCAGATGATAAATAATGAAGTACTGTTTCTACTTTTGGAGACCAAGAGAAAATATCTTTGGTTTCATTTTGAAGTTCCTTAGAAAGGATTTTATAAATCCTCCAAAAATGATAAAGAAAGTTGAAACAAAATAAATTCAAATTTGGAAGAAAAAGCTTGGGACATCTTGAATGCTATTAATTTACAGTCGATCCTCATTATTTGTAGATTTTATATTTGTGAATTTGCCTACTCACTAAAATTTATTTTTTCCTCCCCCAAATCAGTACTCATGGCATACTCGCCGTCAGACCCAGAGATGTGCAGAGCTGCAAAATCTGTGGTCTGTGAGGCACACATTCCTGGTTGAGGAAGGCAGTGTTCTGCCTTCTTGTTTTACTCTCATATTGTAAACGTGTCCTTTTCATGGTCTGTTTAGTGACACTTTTTTCACATTTTTGTACTTTTGTTTTGCTGATTTCACTGTTTAAAATGGCCCCCAAGCTTAGTGCTGAAGTGCTGTCTGGTGTTCCTGAGTGCTGGAAGGCTGTGATGGGGCTTTACAGAGAAAATACCTGTGTTAGATAAGCTTCCAGCAGGACTGTGAGTTTGATGTTAACGAATCAACAATGTATATTACGTAAGGTGTCTTTAAACAGAAACACTCATGAACAAGATTATGTATTGATCAGTAGCCAAAATGTGGCCAGAGGCTCCCAGGAACCTAACCCTGTGTTTCTCCTGGAGCAGTGGTTCAGTATTCGCTAATTCAGTGTTTGCAGTGACTTTATAGAACAGAACTGCATGAATTACAGGATTGACTATATTTCTTTTATTTGAACATGAAATAGACTAATTATCCTTTTATCAGAGTAAATATTATTTCCAAGAAATAAATATTCTATTTTCCTTAACCTGTTTTGAGTGAACACATAAGTTATCAGCAATGGTTATGGTTTCATCACAGAATTTATATTTACACCAAAACTATTTCAAGTACAAAAACTTCTTTTGTCTTTAATTTGTTTCAATATGAAACTTTTTGCATATTCAGTGATTCTGCTATGCAGCTTAATTCTTTTGGCTAAATAACTGGCACAAACACAGAGTACTATATCTATTATAATGCTATTTCAATGTTGAAAATCTTTATACCAAAATTTTGTTAAAACTTTAAGACAGATCTTAAGATTTTTGTACTTTGAAGTCAAGTTTTGGTTGATTCAGGCCAAACACTTGTTTTCAAGAATTTGAAATCATGCCAGAACCCAGCATGAGAATGTATCGTATTTTGTATCTCTTTTGGAGCCAGATGTTGACAGGTTACTAATGTTAGCACATGGACCTGTTTCATGCCATTGCTATTGGCACTGTTGTAAGGCATGCTGACCTTTGAAATTTTTTTGTGGAACATAACATAGGCTTTTTGTTTTTAGGTTTGGGGTGTTTTGGTTTGGTTTGCTCATTGATTTAAGGAATTGGATTTATGAGGAAAAAAGTAACCATGGCTGAAGTATCAGATAACTAAAGGAGATGAAGAATTGTGTGAACAAACCCTGCAAAGCTGTACACCTGTCAACGTGAACAAATGAGTTTATTTAGCAGGCAGAACATCAGGACGATTAAAGTATCATTAATAACAAAGTGCTCATCGTTTGCACTTTATGAAAATATGATTTTGTCAAAACAAATACCTAAAATTTTGTTGATTATTTGTTGTAGAATGAACTTTATATGCATTATCTCACTTAATACAACAGCCTTTTGAGCTATAGGTATTGTTATTATATAAAATGCAAATTATCACATTACATATGAAGAAACTACAGCTTAGAATAGTCAAGTAAATTCCCCAAGGTCCTGTAAATAATAATGAGTGGAGTCAGGATTTGAACTCAAGTCTATTCGACTTCAGAGTCTACAACATTATGCTCCCTCTATGACTTGCTTGACAATTTCTGCAATGGATATCATGTCCTCTTAAGAATTTTATCACTTTTCTGACAGTTCCACCCAACATTCCACATCTCTGTTACCCTAAGGAAGATTGGGAGTGGGGATGGAACACTGGACACCCTCTCCTTTCTCCAAAGGATAAACTTATGATATTACTATTATATATAATATTAACGTATTGTTATATTATCTTCCCCAAGAAGTTTATCACACTGTGTTCTTGCCCAGTATCAAGAACTGCTTTAAAGGGAAAAGGATGCCCCAAAAGGGCAATTTGCAGTGCTGTTTAGCAGTAGGAAAATAAAAAATACACTTTTCTTTGTCTGAAACCTGTATATGAGCCTCAAACCTCCACCCTCCTTATCAAGTTTTGTTTTGTTTCCAAGAACCAGCTGCTGGCTTTACCTCTCTCTACCAGCCGGATGCTTTCTGGATCATGTTATCCGGTGCTCAATTGAAGTATCCCCATTGAAGTCCACAGCCTAGGGAAATCACCCTGATTCTGTTCCCTAGCAACATCCCTGAGAGTAACAACAGCTGCTTAACCATATGCCACTAGAAAGATGCTGTAGGGAGAATACACAGAATTTAATATTAAATGCCTTAAATCTTGAGACTTCAAACATCACAGTTACCATGTTTGATTATTTATCTTTAGCAGTGCAAAACCAAAAGAGAGGAATAAATGTAATCATCTAACATGACAGCAGATATCTAGATAAGCCTAGCAGTCAATGTGATTTCTAGATATTTTCAAACAGAAATTGCCATGATGAAAATAAAATACATAAAGAAAAAAAATTTCTTTATGATTGTGAGTCTTAAAATGTTAAATTTGTGTCAAAATTAAATTTACTGGTGTTGTAATGTGACATGGCGTATTTAAACATTAAGCAAACTTAAAACTCCTTACAAATTTTTGTTGCTATTATCGATTTTTTTTTTCTGTGTTAATCCCTTTTATTCCCTCTGTAGTTTTGGCTTTTCCAGAATGTCATATAATTGGAATTGTATATTATATAGGCTTTTCAGACTGGCTTCTTTCCCTTAGTAGTATTCATGTAAGTTTCCTCCATGTCTTTTCACGGCTTGATAGCTCATTTCTTTTTAGCGCTAAATATTCCATTGTATGGATGTAGGACAGTTTATCCGTTCACCTACTGAAGGATATCTTGGTTGCTTACAGGTTTTGGTAATTACGACTAAAAGCTGCTATAAACATACATGTGCAGGTTTTTGTGTGGCCGTAGTTTTCAACTTATTTGGGTAAATACCAAGGAGCGTGAATGCTGGATCATGTGGTAAAAACATGTTTAGTTTTGTAAGAAGCTGCTAAACTGTCTTCCAAAGTGACTGTACCATTTTGCATTCCCACATCCTTGTCAGCATTTGGTGCTGTCAGTGTTGGATTTCAATCATTCTAATAGATGTGTAGTATTATTTTATTGTTGTTTTGATTTATGATTGCCTAATAACGTGTTATTGAGCATCTTTTCATATGCTTATTTGCTATCTGTATATCTTTTTTGGTGAGGCATCTGTGAGATTTTCTTGAGAATTTAAATTGGGTTATTATTTTTCTATTAATTGGTTTTAAGAGTTCTTTGTATATGTTGGATACCAGTCCATCAGATAAGTATTTTGCAAAGATTTTCTCTCAGTCTGTGGCTTGTCTTTTCTCTTAATATTTTATATTAAAAATAGGAATTTAATTATTATAGCTTAACCACTAATTTAGGAACTGCTACCATTATTGTGGTATGTGGCGGAGGGAGGAAAGGTTATCTTTTGTGGTTTCTTTGCAAAAACAAATTTCCCCACATTTAAAAATCATTAATATATTCCTTCTCTTTGTACCCCCCGTCCTTTTATAGCTTAAGCTGCTGGATTTCCAAGCAGTTCACCGTAAGGAAGAAGGGTAAAAAATTATCTTGGACTATTTTTTCTGTTTTGATCAATAAGTGACCGGTTATAGTGACCATTATCCAGATAATAGCCAATAACTCAGTACATATACACGTGGATCATGCCTTTTTACATATTTTTTAAAAAGTATCTTTGACATTCTTTGAAATTCTACTCAATTTTCAAATTATTCCGAATAATTTTCAAAATTTCTGGTCACCAGTGGGGCTTTTTGGTTTGTTTGGTTTTTTTTGCTAGTCCTTATTGTAAACAGCTAATTAAAACAAAACCATATTTTAAAGTTAGGTCATGCTATGATATTTATTTTAATGATTTTATATGAAAATCAGTTTTTTCCCCCAATTTTTGAAATACGGACACACATATTAGTAGTCAACTTGGGTTTATAAAACAAGAATATTTTGTTTGGAAAAGAGATCTTAAAAGTAATTATTTGTATTAGTTAAAAGCTCTTCCTGATTTCATTTTTCTCAATGAATTTATTTGCCCAGGAAAAGTTATTTTAAGGCCAAGGTCAAATAGGAAGTCTAGGTCAGTAGTTTTCTAAATATTTGTATATGAGGAAGTCCAATATTTGTAACAGATAAATGTAGAGCTGCTCTGGTTGAAGGTCAAATGGAGGTGGAAGAGACTAGAGCGCACCCTCTCCTGCCTTTTCCCAGGTACCTCTGAGGAATCCATAGGGCTGTGTGGAGAAGAAGTGGAAAATTAGTCTAAATTATAATTTTTATTTAAAGCAACAACAAAACCAAATAGTCATTACTGAGCTGTTTATCCTGGAGTTCTAGGTGTCTAATTTATAAGGTTTCTGAATTAGACTTCAGGGCCTATGTTACATTTTATTACAGTCTACAACTTAAGTGCAGACTGGCAAGAATTAAACTAAAAGCCTGTTTCACAGCTGTTATGCATCTGGGAGTTTGGTTAAAAGGGGCTAGCTTAGCTTAGCCTGAGTTATGATAAAAAGCAGGGTCTAGAGACCTTTTAACTAAAGTCCTGTGCTCTGATCAGAGCTGTATTTTAATACTGGCCCATAAGTCCACGTAATTATAATTTGTAAGAGTCTTTAGAACATCAGTAACTTTTAAATCTTACCATGTGAAAAATGGTTATGTCACCTATGGACTTTAAAAGTCTTTAGCAAACTGGGATAAAGGTGATGAGCAAACCAAATATTTCTGAAACCTTGCTGTCCAAGTTTTGTACTTATGATGTTCTAAGTATTCTTTATAGTACACTACTCCTTTTAATATGCTTTAATGAGGAATGTTAATCGTGATACAGGATTGCTTCGTGTCAGAGTTGTTGTACCACAGGGAAAGGTGGGTTACTTTTTTACTGTAACCTTCTTACTACCTTCTGGCTTTTCTCTCAGGCTTGCAGATGGGTCAGGGGCTGTGGAGAGTGGCCAGAAACCAGCAGCTACAGCAGGAAGGCTATAGTGAGCAAGGCTACCTCAGCAGAGAGCAGGGCAGGAGGATGGCTGCCAGCAGCATTCCTAACACCAGTCATCGTAAACAAGTCCAAGGAGGCATTGACATATATCATCTTTTGAAAGCAAGGAAATCTAAAGAACAGGAAGGATTCATTAATTTGGAAATGTTGCCCCCCGAGCTAAGCTTTACCATCTTGTCCTACCTGAATGCAACTGACCTCTGCTTAGCTTCCTGTGTTTGGCAGGACCTCGCAAATGATGAACTTCTCTGGCAAGGGTAAGTTCAACCCACCATGTTTGATTCTGGTACCTCTAAATATAATCATGCTTAACTGTCCTTTTTATAACAGATAACTATGTATTATGAACTATTTCTTTTTATCCTGGACTTGTATTTTGAGTTTCTTTTCATTAAAACCTAAGAAGATAAAGATAGAGTTATCATCACAGTCAAATTTAATCATGGGAAAAGGAGGACAGTGTAGAAGAAAATAATGACTCTACAGTTAGAAAAGAGGTTACCACTTAACATGTAGCAGTTTATTATAAATCCGAAATTCTCAGTTTATTCTAAAAATACAAGTTGTTAATTGAGAATATAATCCAAAATTTAGAGTGTTCACCTCCCTAGTGTAGTTTGTGCTTCCCATGTAAAGAATAGGCATACTTAAAAATCATTATTCCCTAAATATTCCCCAAATCTTATTGTTTTCAGTGGTTACAAATGGAGTATATGTGTGTGTGTGTTTGCTTATTTATATGTATATATTTTTGATCAAAGGTACGTGTTAGCATAAACTTTTACTAGTGAATATTTCATCTACTTTTTTATTTTTTCTAACCACCATTTCATCGATGAAGTAGGCAAGTTTTAGAAAGCAAGGAGATAATCTACTTGCTGAAGTGAAAGTAGATTTCTAAATTTTAGCAGCTATTATACTAGTTTAAATTTAAGCTATAAATCTAAGAACGTTTGGTGGAATAGAATCTATTTTATGGAATCTAGTGACTCCTTAAATAGAATCATATACTTGAGTCTTGAAAATGTTACCAAACATAGAAGAATCATTGGATCTTGGGTTTTCCAGCATTCTTTACTAACGTTTATTTAAGTCTCATCATTTTAAAATGGGACTTCCTAACAATGTAAAACATATCTAAAAACAAAAGTCTTTTTGAGACTTTAAATAATTTCTGAATGAAAATCTGAGAGAATTAATAAATTATCTAAATAGCCAAACTTCAGTAAAAATGTATTACCAACAATGACGTTCCTGACTCAGGCTTCCTGATGCTACAGAATTAAGTGGCAATTATATAGTTCAGTTCTCAATCTCTGAATAGATAAAATTCATCAGTGTCATCTTGTTATTTTCTCATTGTTTTGTTATAGTGAAAGTACTATGGAAGTGAGAGGCAATTCTATTATTTAGTAGTGTTTAAAGTAAATTAGTTATTAATTTTTTAGTCATTTAATGTAAGAAGAAATAAAAATACTTCAAAACTGACTCATTCTTTATTTATAACCTCTTTTCTACATTTTAGTATTCCCAGCAAACTTAATTTGTGATCTTATATTTGAACTTTGAAAAAAATGTTTATTTCTGAGCTTATCTGAACTCAATCAGAATGTATTCTTCATTTGGGATTTAAATCTGAATTGTTCATTTCTGAAAGAAATAAATGCTTCTTTTATTATTTATCACATAATTATGCCTATTTTTTTTTTAAAGATTTTATTTTTTTCCTTTTTCTCCCCAAAGCCCCCCGGTACATAGTTGTATATTCTTAGTTGTGGGTCCTTCTAGTTGTGGCATGTGGGACGCCGCCTCAGCATGGCTCAACGAGTGGTGCCATGTCTGTGCCCAGGATTTGAACCGACGAAACACTGGGCCCTCTGCAGCAGAGCGCGTGAACTTAACCACTCAGCCACGGGGCCGGCCCCTAATTATGCCTATTTCTATGATGCTTGAATATTTTTTCTTAGTAATAAATTGCTTCCAGCATTTTAAGTTAAAAGTTCGCTTAGTTTTTACTTTGTTTTAACAAAGTTTTAACTTTGGATGTGTTGAATGCTTATTAATGTTGAGAAGTTCTGTTTTTTTCATGTAGCTAAGAAATAAAAGTCAAAAGCTTTGGGACTAAGTTAAAGAGGCTACTAAAATATTGATAATTTTCTGAACAAGTTACTAAACTTTCTGTTTTAGAATCAATGATTTCATTTGGTTGGTAAAACTAATGCTAGGATATAAATTAATTATTAAGAAGATATTCTCATATTAAATTAGATATATTATCTACTATCCTCACAATTTTTGATGTTTTAGGCTGAGACAGTAACATTTTCTTGTTTTCCTGTTCGTGTGTGTTTGTGAAAAGAAGGAAGTTTGAGCCGAAAATCAATGAATAGCAGAAACTGAAACTATTTTAATGTTTGTCACTACAAGTAGGTGTTTTTTGGACACACACTAAAATCAGATAATTTTAAGACCATGAGTCATTAAAAGTGTATCAAAATATAATTTCAGTATTCTCCATGTCTCTAGAGTAATGCACTTATATTTAATGGTCTATGGAATATATCCAGAATTTCTAGACATTGTAACAAGATAAAACTTTAGCTTTCAAATATAAAAACAGCTAAGCTTAACATCACAGCTTTTCATGTATTTATTGAAGTTATAGAATTACAATTTCTATGTTTAGTTTGCTTGTTGTTGATTTATGTGTTGTTAAAAAAACAAAGCTCTCCCCCTGCCCAGCAATCTCCACCCCCCATTCAGTTTTATTTAGCAGTAGAGCACATAGTTACTTAATCCTCTCTAGCTTCTTGGTTAAGATTGCAAGCTCTGGAGTAAGACTCCTTGGGTTCAAATCCTGCCTCTACACAAATTAGCTGTGCTACCCTGGGCAAGCTTTTTATCATATCTGTGTTTCTTTATCTGTAGCACCAACGTCATAGGATTGTTGTAAAGATTAAGCAAGCTAATGCTATTAAAATGCTTTAAATAGTGCCTGGCAACTAGTAAACACTCAGTAAATGTTAGCTATCCTTACTATTAATCGTTTATATTTAACTTCAGATAGTACTCATGAAAGCCTTTGAATAGCAGCAGAGTATTGTCTGATACAGTGCTGGCAGGCGAGAGGATGGTGCAGAAAGATGGGGCAGGTTCTACTCTGCACAGGGTCACTAGGAGTCAAAGTCCACTCCAAGTCACTAACACCAAAGTACTCCTGAATATTATTAATCTTTGTAACTCACATTTATTTAGTACTATCAAAATTGCTAAGTTGAAGACATTTGTCTATTATACACTAGTAAACAAATAAAAAACAAGTACAGAATTAAAGATTTTAAAACTTTAGAACTATAAAATCCAATTTTATATCATTTCATGTTAATATTTTATCAAGTTACACATGTTTAACTTAGGAAATTAAATATAGCAATGTTTTCATATCTGATTTTACCTTACTTTTACAGGTTGTGTAAATCCACTTGGGGTCACTGTTCCATATATAATAAGAACCTACCTCTAGGATTTTCTTTTAGAAAATTGTATATGCAGCTGGATGAAGGCAGCCTCACCTTTAATGCCAATCCAGATGAGGTAAGTGAAGAACTTGAATATTTATGACAGTTAAACTTTATTACTATCTTGCTGCAGCTTTCCAGCATAATAAACTTGCAAGTAAAGTAACAAGTGTTTGAATGTGCCTTTTCAATCACTGGGAAGCCCAGTAATTGAAGTTAATGCTACATGACATTGTCGTTTCTCTTTACCTTACCATGTCATATTCTAAGTCTTTCCACCTGCTCATTTTGTATGGCAGCTTCCATGGCATATATTCAGTCCTCTGCTAGGCCTAATTGAGATATTACTGCATTATAAGTGGACAATACAACATATGTCTATCAAATTTTATCTGCAGCTTTTTCTTTCTATTTTATTGTTTCTATTTTGTAATGATGCTGCGTTTATCAGAGATAATCACAAAGGACATCGTTTGTTTGCAACACATCAAAATGTTGTCTTTAAATAATGCCTTTAACAGTCTAATTCCATGCTGCCGTAGGAACTGCTTATAGATTCTGTTATAAAATTGAATAATTTTATTTTAGTTATTTAATTCTTTCTTGTCATAATCTATAAGAATGATCAAATGTGAAGACAGTTCTTTCACTGTTTTTTTTCACCCCTATTCTCATTTTAACATATCCTGGAAAGGTTCAGATTTTCAGAAATGTTTAAACATCAGCTAGACTTATTCTTAGAAATTGAATGGAAATTATACAACCATTAGAACTACTACTTCTGGGTGGATTATTTTCTGTGGAAAAATTTAACTGGCATTTATTTTAATTTATTTAACTTTCAAAGTCCAGCTTTTTTCATTTGTTGTAGAGGTATTAAGGACTGTTTAGGTCATGCAGTCAAATAGCTTTTAAAATACCTTAACTTTTGCTATGTTTCCATTAGAGAAATGTTTCTCCCATGCGAAATATTTGAATATTAAAGAGAAATACTGATTTTATAAATGATACATTTTTAAAATTAAATTGATTTTTGCTTGTTATATATGATTTCTTTCTTTGTTAAATTTTTCTTGCATATGAATAAAAATATATATAATACTGTTAGAAAGGTTTACTGATACACACACATTATCAGTTAAGTTTTAGCCCAACAAATATAGCAGACTATATATATTATAAATCCTGGTATGAATATTTAAATTAAGATATTTTTTCTCTCTTTTCACCATCATTTAAAGAGCTTTTCCTTTCAATGAATAGAAGACTGATACTTTTAATGAAAATAGAATGATTCATAAGTTAAAGTTCAAATTATAAATTTGAAACCAATATAATATTGATTGTTTAGAATCTAACAGTCATTCTTTAGAAGGCAAATGAATGGATAAACTATAATAAATTTAGGTTTTGTAATTTATCCTTTTATTGAAAATTTTTTCTGATGCTTTTTATCATAAAATATTCTTATTTTTACATTATTTTTGGTCGAAAGCAAGTTCTCTTCCTTCTAAATATATAGCAACAGTAAGCATGTCACCTTTTTGTTCTTGCACTATGGCAGAGCTGCTCTGTACAAGAGATTCTGCTACACCTGTGTATTTGAAGGACATGGTTTCAGAGACTTCATTATTCTTGTTTATTAGAATTAGACATTACTTGTTGCTAATTAAAACAGTTCATATGACAAACCTTATAGTAAGACATATATTTTGCATTAGTCTCTTGGGTTAATTGAATGATGATTACTGAAAAAGAACTGAGGCAGAATAGTACAGTGTTTTACTCTAGATACATAAGAATCAGGAAAGGCAGATATTGCAAGCCCCAGTCATATTATGCCTGATTTATCAAGGCATACTGACTCTGGTCATAAATTATACTGATGTTGAATAAAAACTGTCATCTTCAATTTATATCACTCGCAAATGTTACATTCTAAGGAAAATGTAACTTGGTAAGTACTGAGTTGTAGATTCACAAAGTCAGAAAATTTGGATCTTATTGCTGATATTGATTATGGTAAGTAGTCATTCCTTACTAAAAGAATATCAATTTTTCAGACAAATTATAAAGCCATCCTTTTTATACAAAGATGAAAATGTAGATAGGCCCTCATATACTAGAATATGATACAGTTTTAAATATGTAAATTGAAAAAGCTAGATGTCAAAATATGTTTCCATCTTTGCAGCTACATATATCAGACTATAGGGTTCTTGTTGTACCTCCTTTGGAGTGTTTGGAGAGGGGGCAGAGAAAAGAGGTAAATTAAAGTCCTCTTTTTATCTTTGTTAAGAGAGAGGATTGAAGTTGTTAATTAAAATAAAATTTTTAGATCTTCAGATTTTACTTATCCATCCTACCTCCCATTATTATTGAGAGTTGGCTGTATTTTCATTTTCTTCACTCCCTGGCCTGATTTAAGGATAACCTGGAGCATTCCAGAAGTATTGAATTCACCATTCTGAAACGGGCACATAGTGCTGCCAAGAGGTGTAGAACTGAACCATTCAAAGTGATTTGTGGTTCTAGAATTCTAATGCTATGCTTTTATGAACATCAGTAACTTAGCAGGTGTTCTCTAAGAGCAAAATAGAATTCTGTCTTTACCAGAATGCACTTAGGATATAAATGGAAAATGAAGAACGCTGAAATACACTTGTAGGCGCAGAGAAATGAGAAGTATTTTAATAACTATATTCTAAATTTTCTTTTATTGACCAATATAAGTAATCACTGTCAATTTGGTTGTTTATCCAAGTTAAGCCTTCAAAATTGTAATCATATAATTGAAAGAGTTATGCTAAAAGATGTTTTTCTATAGAACTTATCTGTATGATTCATACTTTAACCAGGTCTTAGAATCATTCTTGCCAGATTTTTTGAGTACTAGAAATGAGGAAGTACTTTTTGGAGGTTGGTTTATTTTTTTCCTCCTCACTAGAGCACTGTCATCAACTGTGTTATTTTCAGTTCATTTAAGCCGGAGAAGTAAATTAGTTTTGATGATATATTTAAATGTAACTAGTATTTATTGTAAGTACCTGAGATGAGATGTATATAATTGTTCAATATTGTAAAAAGTCTACTTTTCTATAATTTCTAGTTCTGTACTTAACATTTTGATAGCAAGCATCATTAAAATATTATAAAAATAAGAATACTTACAGCCACAGGGAACAAGATTCTCCAAAGGACATCGTTCATGTCACGGATATGGGTAACCAAACTCCACAGCAACTGCTGGCAGTGGCTCATGGGGTGGGGGCGAGCATCTGCACAGTTTGTGGTACGATGATCTAGCACGCTGTTGTTATATGCATGACATTGTGATCTCAGCTGTACGTAGTCTTGATCTTGTGCATGAGCTTGTGTACTTTGTGGCAGGTGACCACATTCTAGTAAAGGAATGTGCTAAAAACCATCTGTTTACATTAGGCTGTATTTCCCTTGCATGTACAAGTTACCTGTGTTGATTTTATTCCACTACAATATTATAATAAAGTAATTTTGGTTATCAAGCAGTAAGCTATATTCCTTGTGTTCCATTTAGTATTAAACATTTTCTTGGCAAGTTATTTTTAAATTTGTAGTCTGGAAAATTGGTAGTGAACCTGATTTAACTTTAACATATTGTAGGTTTATTTTTGTTTGTGTAAATATGTTTTATAAAAGGTTTTTTTTGCCACAACTAGATGGACCTGCAACTAAGATATACAACTATGTACCGGGGGGATTTGGGGTGATAAAGTGAAAAAAAAAAAAAAGTTTTTTTTATAATATCCTCATGGAGTTAGGTAAAGAAGTCTTTTTTTTTTTAACTGTTTAAGTACATTTTTCCTGTGTTCATATGGAAACACCCACGTGCATATATGTTATATTTTATTAGATTTATCTGGGATAGAATCTACTATGAGAAATATTTTAAATTTGACCTATGCACATGTTTTAAGTGGGAATGCATAAGCAATTTATTTTCAAGATAACATACTCTTTTTGTTGTTGGACCAGCTAAAACATAAACAGGGAATTTGTAGGAGTTCTCCATTATAGAGTGAACTCAGGAATTTATACTCAATTCTTATGAATAATATCTCAGATATTAAATCTTATCGCGTTTTTGCTCCAATATACAGCAGCAAAGTGTTCATTACCATTACTTCATAGCATTGCAACAGTGATGAAAGATAACTTTTACTTTTATTCCTAGGGGTAGGAAACTGATTGGTGTCATCAGAATGTATAAATCCCACAGTTAGCTAGAGGTCAAAAAAGACTTCATTTAGAATCTGATTTGGGGAAGTTTGTCAAAAATATCAAAGAAGGTCTTAAAACACTTGCCTAAATGGGAAAAAAAAAAAAAAAAAACAACTTTCTCCTGTGTAAGAATTACTTACCCAAAAGAGCTAAACTGCTCAAGTTCATTGGCAAAGCCCTTTACCCTTGATCAGCATACAACACCCATACTACCAACACCAAATTTAAAAATGTGAAATGCTAAAATGAGCAAGATTTTTTCTTTGTTTGAATTTTACTTTTGTTACCAGTTTATATAAGTGTACCTGGAGAGTTTGTAATATTGTGTCAATATTTTAAGTACATTTCAAAGAAAGATATGTTTGCTTTTTATCTCCTTATCATAGCCTGACTACCTGGATGCCTCCAAAAAGGTTCTTCCTTGTCTGATGTGACCACAGTTTCAGTGAAACTTGACATGACTTTCTAGATTTAAGTTCTCAGCTTTATTATCCAAGGTAGTTGTCTCTCCTGCATGTCTGTCCTAAATTTAGCAATTGCTGCTACCAGTGTCACAGTAAATGTCGCTGTAAACTGTGAGTGCTTTATCAGAAATCTAAAAGACAATATTTCCTCAATTCTTGAATGTCATCAATTGTATGGCATCCATCAATTTAATAGCAGCTTAGAAATATGGGAGTATGAAGGAAACACTACAATATGTCATTTTTTAACCAACTCACTGGTAGTATACATTTATCCCTAATATTATGTAACATTTTCTTTCTCATATCATAAAGTTTTTGAAGATGCCTTCTTTATAGTCAAAGTCTTAAGCTCTTTGTGAAACACTGGGCGCCAGCAGTTAAATATAGCATCACAATAACATGTTGCTTTTTATTATTTGGACTGATGACTCTGACCTTTAAGAGTTTATAATTTGAGACATTTCAAAGTACACTGGAGTTTTGGTCCAACTCATAGTTTTTTTGTTATTATGTCATTGTCTCTTTTTTAACCCTTTAGTTAATTATATAATCGTTAAAAGTTTACAGCTTCTCTTGAAAGTCAGCTGGAAGCTTTGTATAGATAGATTCAAACATTCATTCAACAAATATTTATTACTTATCTCTCCACTTACTAGTTGTGTGACTTTGACTTTGTCAAATTATTTAACTTCTCTATGCTTCAGTTTCCCCATCTGTAAAATGGGTACAATAATAGTACCTATATCATGGTGTTATTGTGATTATTAAATGAGATGATGTACATTAAGCACTTAGTGCCTCTAAGTGCTCCACAAAACTAGCTTTATATTTATACCGGAGGTACAGCTACAACGAGTTATACTTCTAAGAGCCAGGCACTACTCTAGGCTTAGGGGTTCTTGCTCTCCTGAAACTTTTGAATTCTAGTAGATAAATATTTCACACTGAGAAATAGTGCTTCTTGAAGTATGTATCCATCGCATCAAAATCTCCTGACGTTAGATGGTGATCCCCTTTGCCTTTGATTTCATTTCCTGGCATGTGATGAGCAATATTTTGCATATATCGTAATTTTTTGTTTCAGTGGTGCTGCTTAGTTTAACTTTTTGAGGACATTTTAAGCAATAATTGTGTTCCAAAGTTATGTTCAAATAAAACATGTATCTTGGCTGAAATGGGGGTAGGATGAACAGATACTTTAATTACATGAATATACACATGTGCTGGCAGTGAAACTGCCATTTAAATCCTAACTTGCTTCTCTGCTTGTCTACTATTAAGATTTGTTGGGTTTTTTTTAATGTTGCTTATTTCAAAATTGTTTCAGAGCTGTTAAAATATATTTATAAATGTACATATTAGAATCTAGGTAATATGATTACACTCTAATTGTTATTTATCAAAGTAGAGTTAGTCCTTTAAAGATTATTCATATATATACATATTGCAAATGGAATATTTGTGTGTCATTTTTGTAAAGCAGGAATTCTAAATTAGTTAACATTGGTGCTCAAATGTGTCACTTTCTCATTAGTTTGAATTGTTATTAACTATACCTTACAGAGTTCTCTCTCCATATTTTGATTGGAATGCTTTCTTTTTCTAATTTACAGACAGGTTGGAGATAGAAAGGGCTTTTCCAAGAAGCTTACTTCCACTACCAGCAACTTTATCAATAATAATTGCAATAATGATTGTTATTTTTAATTATTAGTAGTAATTTATCATTTAGGAAGTACCTTCACTTTCATCATCTTATTGATCTATTTTGGAGACTATTAGAACTCACAAGCGTGGCTCGTTTTCTGTGGAGGCTATTGCACTAATTAATAGAGACATTTTATTGTTATTTAAAACCTTAGGTAAGAAGATTCATGTTATTTTGTCTGATGTCATTGCTTCCTCTCCTATGGAAAAGAAGCCGGAAGATCTGTTCTGTCCTATACCTCTCCTCCATTTCCCTGGACTCCATTAGAGCAGATTTTCCATTTTTCTTTTGATTTCCTTTGAACTATCCCTCCTTTATGTGCGATTTCCTGTTGACATCTAAAATAATTTAGGGTGTGTGTGTGTCTGTTCTTAGCAATTTCTCAGCATTGTGCACTTTAATGGTCTGAAAAGTCCTCCACAAATTGTTCTAGGAAGCGGAAGTCCTTGCCGATTCAGACACCGTCCATGAAGAAACTGACTTCATTGCATAGTCCACACTCCAGACTGAACAGTAGGACTCTTCATTCTCCTTTAGGTGAAATGTGAAGTTCTGACCAATTTCAGTAACTGTTCAGAGGGAACTAGCTACAGGGTTTTGGCACTCTCTCTTCTCTTCACAACTGTCACTTCTCCTGCAGAAGTATAGCCATTGTATGCTCTCTGTTCTTCCCAGGGAAGAGAGAAGACAGAATTTGCAGTTCACATTTCAAACTGACTATCAAAATTATCTTCACATTTCTTACCCAATTTTCATTACCCCTTTCCTCTCAGTTCTAAGCCACACAGAGCCCCCCAGTGAATAGCCTAGTTACGCATACCTCAATAAGAGGAAAACGTTACTTATTACTCATAAAATAATCTTTCCACCCAGGACAACTTTAAAAACCTGGGCATAGTTTTTACTTTAGCCTTTGAACCTAGTGACTAGATGGGGAATAACAATTACAGTATGTATGAGCAGTTTAAATTACCATGAATAAAGTAAATGTGTGACATTTCTGAAGTATGTGCTCATTATTTTTTACTATCCAGAAAGTAAAGTTTTCATAACGTATCTTGTATCTCCTAATTTTTGCATTACTTTTACTGTGAAAAGATGACATTTCAGTTGTTCATTTCACTGTGATTAAAATGTGTACTTGAGTATGAATATATTGTTTTTCAAAGTAAAAGAAAAATTAGAAATCTAGATTGAACTATTTTGTTTTATAAATATTTATTGTTAAAATTTAAAGAATGTTATTTT